CAATTAGTTAACTATTGTCTACAGTTAGAAAAAATGCTATTATGTATATATTTGACAATAAAAGTTTTTTGTTATTGGTATTTTTTTACAAATTAGAGTAACTAACTTTGTTTTATATTTTGATGCAAAAATTAACGCTCAAATGTTATCATAAATTTATAATAAGCAAACTCTAATCAAGTACCAACGAATTAAAATTATATAATTCAAAAGATGCCTACAGTATCATCAATTTTTAATAATTAATGATTTGAAAACATGTATATATGATCACTTTGCTTATTTTCATGCTATTAAAAATATTTATAGGAAAATAAAAAAAATACTATCAACTATATAAATGCACTCTACAAGAAAAAAAACTATCAACTATTTAAAATATTAGCTATATAAATGCACTCTACAAGAAAAAAATGACACACTCATACTAAGTATAGGTTATAAAAAAAGGAAAAAAAATTAAATAAATGCATTGAAGCTTGACCCAGACTTTAACCAAGCCGAGCCAAACCAAAAATAAAACAAAACCAAACTAATTTTCCCAAAAACCAATCAAGTGTCAATCATAAGTAAATCGATTGGTTTGGTTTGGTCTGGTTTTTGCCTAAAACCCAACCAAACCGAGCCGTGAACACCCCTTGTTTGATAGGTAAGCCTAAAGCACCTGAGTTTGAGTTTGATCACATATCTATTCATCCTTCTCGTACTTCCTTATCAACTAGAAAGAGGAGAAAGACTAAGATTCTTCAGTCTTCTAGGGCCAAGTCTGGGAAGAATAGTGAAGAAGCATCTTAGAAAGAAGAGGTTCAGTCTAAGCATAAGAGGACATGTTCTAGCACTCAAAATCAACCTCAACAATAGCAACTTCATTTAGATATTGTGGTTAACATTACCAAATCTTATGTTGAGTCTCTCAAGACTCCTAATTTTTCAGCTGCAACTGAAGTCCCTAGTATCTTTGCTACATCTATGGCTATCCCTAGGATAATCTCTACATAGCTTATATTTGATCAATTCAAGAAAAATTCATCTTCACTTGATGACCCTTATCCCCTTATCACAATGCTCTCTTTGAGGTCACATAGTTCAAGTGACTCCTTAAGAAAATGTAAGGACTCCTTCAGCCTCTCTTGATTATGATGATAACAAAAAGGAAAAGGTTGAGAAACAAGATGGTACCAAGTCTGATCAGAAGGAAAAGGTTAAGAAATCTGATTAAAAAGAGAAAGATAATGCAAGCCTGATTAAAAGGGAAAGGTTGAGAAATTTGATCAAAGAGAGAAAGATAATGCCAAGTTTGATCAGAAGGGAAAGGATGAGAAATCTGCATGCAAGAAACTAAGAAGTGCTAAACCTAAGAGGTATAGGTCAGAGGTAGAGAAGGATGAATAATAGAAAATCAAGCCTTCTACCAAAACCACTACCTTACACAATTCTACACCTGCAACATGTCAATCCTAAAGCCCTAAAAAGGCTGTTAAGGATTTTGTATAGAGAATAAAGTCCATTAAGTTGAACAAGGGTCCCATTATCACTAATGAGACTTGAGCTAAGCCCTGTTTGCTTTTTAGACTATATTTCATATATATGTTTATTCTAACATTTATGATTTTCCTTGTATCTCTCTAACATTCTCTTTTGTTGATTATACAACTGCTTATTCCAATGTATAACTCTGTCTTTAAATTTCCATATTAGCTACTTTTGTTTATTATCTAGGGAATTAAGTTTAAGTCTATATGCTCTATCTCTAACAACTTCCCATATTCTCCCATGTTCCTTTGAAAGTAACAAAAAAGCAAAAATTGTTTTCAAACATGCCAATATGTAAAAACTATACCAGTGTGTGTTACATACTACTATGCCCTTCTCAGTAACTCTACCTATTATGGTGTGTGCTTATCAATTAAGAGAAATTTTCAAACTTAGTAATGAGCTTATTATTTCACAAATAGTTACTTATTAAATTAACAATGAGGACTTGTTAAAAAAATTAAATATGGAATGATTTTTGTAAATGTTTACTTATTTTTGTTACCAAAATTTTACATGTCAAAAGCTTATATGAATTTAGTATTTTACTAAAATTTACTTGTCAAACTAAGAATTGGGACCCGTGCATCGCACGAGTAATTTATTGGCCAAAATATTAAAATCATTCTTTCGTCATATCATTTTTAATACTGTTAAATTCTTTCAAGTCATATTAAGTTTCAATACAAAGGATATATTAATGCATTAATTTTCAAGTCATATTTAAGTTTCAAGTCATAGTGGTAGGGGCCCGTGCATTGCACTGGCAATATCATGGACAATTAGTTATATAATTTTAGGGTTGTGATAACATTTTATAGGGGTAATTTCAGAGACAATTTTTTTTATTTTTTTTTTACAAAAGAAAATTTGTTTCAATTAGAATAATGGAATTTAATACTTAGCCTAATAAACATCACACAAACCAAAACACAGGGCATTAGAAACAAATTAACAGTTCTAAAAAAAGTCATTGGAAATCTTAATTTCTTAACAAATTTGACATCTTTCCAATGAAACTCTAATTAAAATACCTTAAATAAAAGCCTTCGTCATGGTAGTTAAAAATCCCATGCATATTTTTCCCCAAAAAAAGTAACTAAATAAAATAGGAATATAGTCACAAATAATCAAAAAATTAAATCAACATTTTTTTTATATAAATGATTAGAATCAAGGTTTTTATAACATATATAATTTTATGGTTTGGAAGGAGCATTTGGCAATATTGGAACTCCATGTTTGTTTAAATATGTTTGGTCTGCTTGGTCCATCCGACTGTTTTTTTTTCCTGCATACCTAAAGCTTAAATATAACTATTTCAGATTCAATTTTCCATAATGGAAGGAATAAATACAGCCTTGTTACTTAATAATTTTCCCTTTTAATTTTTTCCACGCCTAAAATTTAAATATAACTATTTAAGATTATAAAAACGAAGAACCATTTTTAAGGGGAGATATAATGTAATCAATGTATTATATATGGTGTTTGTTAGTAAGACCCACACACCCATGAATCTTAGATGTACATCCGATTCTAATTAACCAAATAGTTTTCTTTACTCTCCACCATCATACCGCATGAAATCTTAGAATTGTGGCTACTTGTTCTTTGAGTTATATACTTTATTCTTGCTCTCCAAGTCATCATTATCAAGATAATCAGCATTATCCTTTTGTTTTCGTTTGTGTTTAATGTGTTATGATATTGATTACTACAAATTAAAGATTTGTGGGTAATGAATCCATATAACCATTTCTCCTTAGTTAAGTCTTTTATGGTCCTATTTTTTGTGTTCTTGTATTTATACAATTTGTTATTGCTTGTACATTCAAATTTTAATTTTTGGAGATAATGAAAAAAGTGTAAGAAAAAAAAACTGTCATTTTTTTATATGAATTCTTTGAAATTTTAATAACTGCAGGTTCTTTATTATAGATAAAGATGTCATTTGGTTGGGTGACACATATATGATTTAGTGAGACAATATCTCATAACTAGAAAATTATAGTTCTGGGCCAACTTGTCCTAAGGAATCCGCACACAGGTTTGCTTCACAAGGGACATAAAATAGTAAATAATTTGATGCCATGATGCTCACACCTAAGTGTTCGTACGTCTGAAATCATTAACTAAAAACCAACTGGTGTCAGTCCATCATCAAAATTATTCAACTTAGTGAAATAGTATCATTAGATGAATTGGATGCCACACTCAAATCCAATTTCGTTCCCTTTTTGTACAATGAGAAACTACTAGATGTACTACTTAAACCATTCAAATATTACAAATGACAAACATCACAAACAGAATAATACCTAACATATTACCTATAGGTAGGTTACCTGCAAGGAATTATCTAAACCTCTTATCTTCCTTTTTCTGTCATGCAAAAACGAAGGAGAACCAATTAAAGATGTAGAGCCATGAGAACAAAGCTGATTATTCCAAATAGATGACCAGATACACTGTCTCATATATAAATTTATATAAAATCTACTGATATTACTAAATGTATTTGACAGAGAGCAAGGACAATGAAAATGATGGAGCACATAATACAGAGTGGATTTAAACTAATTAAAACTACTAATGCTTCTGCTAAGATGTCAATCATTCTGTATTACCATAATTCATACATTCCAAATGTATTAAAATTCTATAAACTGTGTGAATGATTTTCACTAATCTATGATGTTGTTGTTTTCAATGCTAAGATCCCTTCTAGAAATGTTTAGCCAATGCCTTCCATATAATTCTGATGCCGCTTAGCTAAGGACAGATCCAAATTAAATATCTACAAATTAAATTAAAAATTATAGTTAAAATCTATGCGTAACATCCTTTTTAGGAATTTACTAAATTCGACACAATGTTCTTTCATATTCATTCAGACTAATACATTTTCTTAAGAAAATTATCAATAGTTGTAAGCTTTCCCAAAATGAAATTACCATTAGCACGACCAACAAACTTTCTTGGCAAGTTATTTTTCTTGATAAAATGCAATGATTTTGTGACCATAAGAATGATTTTCACTAATCGAATAATGGCGTCCTATGTACTCAGTCAAAAGCATACATAATATAATTTTAAAATATCACTAGCTTAAATCCCATGTGTTGCACGGGTTTGAGATCAAGAGATTTTGTTATACACATCTTCTATTAAAGTTTAAATAAATTATATTGAAATTGTCCCATAATTTAAAATAAAAGAAACCATGTGTCAATGAAATACAATCAATTTAATTCTATAAATTTGGATAATTATTTGTTTACACCATTTTGCCTTTTTAAAATAACCCCCATTGCAACAGGAAGCTCATTATTCAGCGTGCTAATTATTTGTTTACACAACATCAATCATCCTTTAGAGTTTGTGCTAGTTCCAGTTAGAAATATTTTCGACCTAATTCTGGCGATAACAATGCAATGATAAATAATAACAAAGTTAACTCAAAATGATCGATAACGAACACACAATTAGGAACCAAATAATATTAACATGCCAAAGGGGTAAAACAGTCCTGTAGTAGCTTGTAGTTTAACATAAAAGGAGCCTTAAGGAAGGAATTGAGTCACGTATTACTCCGAAGTCCAAACTGATCTTTTGATTTTCCATCTCCACAAAACAAAAGGACGAGTGTAAAGATCAAGCTCGAAAATCTTGGTGATAAAGGGAAACTAGAAAACTATTTAGAGAACTGTCTTCAGCCTTTAAATCTTGTAGATAGATGGAGCAAGATTTGGATCACTTTTCCAAGATTAATTATGACATCACTAAAATCTGGGCCCTGAGGAGCAAAAACAACAATAATGTCAATGACATTCAAAACAGAAAAGAAAGATAGTTATGGATTTGAATTCATTCTAGTACAATTGATAGGAGTAAGTTTCTTTGAGAATTAAAGATTTATTACCTTGTACCCACAACTAATGACCCAGTAGTTGAATCATAAGATTTTCTTCTTAATTTGGAACTTCAAAAATGGGTAGTTTTCAATTTAATTCTCAGCCATAACCCCCCTCCCAAAAAAAAAATGCCACAAATAAATTATTATCAATAATTTCAAAACGAGATAGGATTTCTTGCTTCAGTTAGAAACATGAAAAAGAAACCTCGTACCAACATTTATGGAACAAAGAGTTCAAATAGGTAATCAATAATATACAACACCTCAATACCCATTGGACTCAGATTTTTTTTTCTTGGCCAACCATTGGACTAAGATTGTAATCTCTTGTAATTTGCAGAAGTTCATATCAAGTTAGTTACTAATATTCTTTTGGTTGTTTCTTTAAATTCATTTGACTAAGAGTCATCACCTTTGATGAAATGTGTGGGGGGTTAGTAATATCCTTGATCAACCAAAAATATTGGGTTTCATTAACTACTATAATATGAAGATTATTAAAACTATAAATAATTCTATAGAAATTTAGAAACTTGTAAATTGTAGCAAGGTATAAAGGGCTACATGTTGCTTAAGATTAAAATAGCTGAAGCCAATTAAATAACAGCCACAAAGACATTAAAAATGGGATTTCATTATGCTAGGATCTTAAAAAAGAGAAGACATGATAAAAGGCATCAAAATACTTCAAATATATCCTTACTGGGTTCCATTAATTATACATTCAAAACCTATATATAACCACTGTTAAACCTGTATATAGTCAAAAGAGAATGCAAGTGAAAAAATGAAGATGCTACTTCACTCAGAACATCCACTTTTATCCGTTGCAATCTTAAAAAGTGGTTTGCTACTTCATTCAAAAGATGCTGCTAGATTGCAAGAATTTGATTTCTGGATATCAATCTAAATCTGATTCAAATGTTTGTCATGTGTTTGTTATAGAGAATTTACTCATCCAAGATATTTAATATATTGGGGTTGAAGAGTGGACCTTGGACACTAGTCAACATTGACTTCTTTGCCTTCTCCAACATCCAACCTAAATGTAATAAACTTAGTAAGTCACCTGGATGCTTAGTTTTTCAGCCACCAGTGAAGAATAAAGCAGTCCAGAGACAACAACAAAAATTATACCAAAATCAATTCTAACATAAACTCATTCCAGTTGATAATTTTTCATCCGGTACTTTCATCAATCATCTAGAATGCATATAAATTTGTCATTCAGATTTGCAAGAAATTCATGAAAGAGCTGGGAAATTTTAGACAATGTCCAACAGCATATATCAGCAAGAAGAAAATGTCATTCACAATAACTGAGTGAACTTTTCCAGTAACCACTAAATAAAAAACCAATGCAAAGCTAGGGAAAAGAATTGTACCAGTATCAATTTTGATTAATAATCTTCCATTCAGGATTTTCATCACAAGCCTAGCATATATATTCTAGTTCTTTCTTCTACAATGTACCAAGTCTGCAAATACCATGCTTTCATTCTTGAAGATGTTTGAGGGGAGTAAAACATTTGAGATCCATCTAGATAAGAAAAACCTTTAATAACAGAGAGCACATAATAGATTGACTGTAAAATAAACACACATTGGATACTTTTCGCAAACACATGAGAGCTAAAAGGAACCATATTGTACAAGTAATTTACAGAAGATTGAATTTATTAGAAGATTGAATGCCAAAATTGAATTTATTAGAAGATTGAATACCTTAGCTGCTATTGTCCTTGCCCTTGCCCACCGTCATACAACAGTTTAAGTTTTCTAGACATAAAAGAAGCAAACAGAACCCCTTATGAGGGCAGCAAAGTCCAGTGCCTTCTACCTAAACCTATATGCAATAGTCAATTACTAATTTGATCAAAGAAACGAATTCAAGCAAATAAAACCAAATAATGATGTTTACAGAAAGGGAAAGAAAAGAAGGCGATAATGATAAGAAACAGAAAATGGTTTCTCTTGTCAGAAATAACATCTTGAATCACAAATCCAAAAAAAAAATCTCCTCCTTTTTCATTCACATTCATCCATGGCTGATAAACTAAAATAGAAAAACAACACAGGTAGATTAACAAACTTCCAAAAATTGAAAACATAGATCCAGAAAAATGGATAAGGGAGAAGAGGCCAAAAATTAGGAAATTAAAGAGGTTGAAAACAAAGAAAATAAATATGGAAAAATTGAAATCTCACTCGATAAGACAGAAAAACTGACCGTATTCTTTGTTTATTTTCTCTCTTCCTTTTCTTCTTCCATGATCACCTTAATCTTCAATTCCCTGAAATGGTTTTTCAGATGGAAATGCAGTAAAGGAAACAGTTGGACAGAGGAAATGACGAAAGACAAGAATGACAAAGAAGCATGGGAAATGGCAACAGACATCAAGCATAATGGAGATCATAATGGAAGTTAATGCTCCCATGGAAATAGCAATCATTAATGTCGAATTTGAAAAATGGGAAGGGGGCAGAGCGCATAACTAATAACATAAGGAATTTTCCTCAGACCATAGTCATCCAGCCAATGAAAGTGGAAAATTAAAATTCATCTACCAATCAGAGATAAAAAAAAAAATCTGACCAATCAGCAGCTTTCTACAAGTTTTGTAGAGATATATTGATTAATAAATTGTGCCAAGATATCCAATTTAATGTCTTTACAAATACCACTTTGCAAAATGGTTAAAAAAACACATTTTCTCCTTTAATTGAAATGAAAGAGGAAAAGGATAGGGAACACTAAGGAGTCTCGTACAACATAAATTGGACCAAACCTACCATTCCAAATAGGTTTCATGTTCACAACACAGAAGCTTCAAACAGGGTTCTTAAAGAAGCTTTAGTCTAAAAACTGACTTCATAACCATCTAAAAGAAAAACCTTTAGTCCTCATATAACATCAGAATTACATTACGCAATTACCTAGAGAGAGTAGCAATGTAGCATAAGCCAAAGCACACTAAAAAAATTCTACTGATAAAGAGAAAAAAGCAAATACGATAAAATTTATTACCTAACAGTGGCAGCTTGTCCCAAAGAATAACTTCCATAAGCCCACAAGCATTGCTACCACCAAACTACACATAATGGCACAATTTTGCAGTCATTAAATTAGAAATAAGTGAACATGCAGAACTTATAAGTAACTTGTTCACAATTCCCTATGCCTAAAACGTACCTATGAACCACTGTAGCTTCCATAGCCATCACCAGCAGCTAAGTCACTTGAAACCCCATATCCACTTGAATAAGAATGTCCACATACATGCCTTTCACTATCTCTAACACATGGGTGCCTTATTGTATATAATGACTGATAGGTTCAAAAACTAATGCCAAAAACTTGTGCCACTTGTTGGCCAGAAAAGGTCAGCAAGGAGGGTAAGAACAAATAGCACAGCATACCTGGCATTTGCAGCAACACAAAATTCAACAAAAAGCTGTCTTAAGTGCTAAGATAAAGTTATTTAAACATAATTAGCAGTGTTTAGTGTTACCGTTTGTATATGTGTGTTTGCATTGGAAGGAAACATAGGTGAGTCAGCAAAGCATCTTCTGGAGTAGAGGAATTTGGAAGAGTCAAGTTACTAACTGATAGTACCATGAAAGAGGGATACAAGTTTCCTTGTTGCCAACTTATGGTATGTAGAGTGTGCTACACATTGCTGTTAATTTAACTGTCTTTTCCATTAGGGATAATGTTGAACTGAGAAAATATGGTTCTTATCTCCTTCATGGGCTCAAATTTGGACAGATAAGTAATGGTGCACTAATCATGATCATGGCCGGACAAAATAAGCTTCTGTAAAAATCACGAACTATATAGTAAAATCCATTTCCCTGTATTTATGGTAATTTTATTTTAGTTTTCCAGTCATCTTCACAGCAAATACTTCCATAACGAAAAAAAAAAGACTGAAGCATTTGTGTCACCAAAACACAGGGCCTTTAAAAACGAATAAAAAACACAATGAGCAATCCCCCATACACATGAAACACACAAAATGGAAATACAAAACTTGCATTGCATCAACAGTTACTGCCAAATATACCCATGTGTGGAACTTTTGTTACATACCCAAATCAGCGTGGAACAGTTATGCACACTTCTAAGGAGCAAATAGAAAAGCAATGGGTCTGATAATGTTCATTAAGTTTTTTAATGAATCCCCATCAACAATCAGGGCGGAATAGTCATGCACATTAGACCAAGTAACATATAGGTAACTCACAGGTTTGATAATGTCCATTATGCTCTTTGATGAATCCTCAGAAACATAATTCCGATACCTGTACGATCGAACTAATTGTTAACTAAATCTTTGATATCCATTTATGCAGTTTTGAATTTCCCTGCATGGCTTTTGAGATAAGTAACTTGCCGTATGTCATTATCTAAAGAAATGTGAGATACCCTCTAAACATATCAAAAGAAAGACTAATTAGTAATTTTAAGATTGGCTGGTGAGAAGCATTCAAGCGCACCTCTATACTAGACTATTAAGGGTTGGTGCCTTAAAACATGATAGGGGATAGGCTTACTGAAGACAAACTTTTTTAAAAAATATGGGTAAAAGATGCTACCTAATTAATGACTGGAGAATTAAGATGAGGACCACAGTAATTATCATCAGGTCGATATAAAGGAATCTGTGTCAATAGAACTCCTAGGTGCACATCATCACCTAAATGTGCCAGATATATATTATAATAGGTCACATACTCCACGCCAACAATGTGCTATAACATAGGCCCATTATTAACAACAGAGACGTTCCCTACAAACTCCCAAGCTTCAGTTTTTCAAGAAATTTAATAAATTCAGTTTCTCAAGAATTTTCTATCCCTTTGAGTTTCTAAAAATTAAGGGAAAAGAATTACTAGCATAAGGTACATTAATCATTCTTCTTGCTCCCTCCTTAATTCTCTCACGTAATGATCAGCTTCAAACTTTGTCACAAGATAACTGCACAATCCATAACAAATTTTAAATTTTATTTAAAATTTATACATTAAAGTAAAATAGACCAAACCTACAGTTTGCTTCCACCTGCGATGCACCACTGCAAGAAAGAGAAAAGGTGCCGATTCAGATAAGGCATCTGGGTTTTCTCCATGAGCTTGCGCAGATGAAGAAGACGCGGTGAGGCCGTAAGGGAGACGAAGTCAAAGAGGAGGTTTGTTGGGAGGAGGAAGTTTGATCGACAGTTGGGAGTAAAGACGGAGCGACTATGCGAGGAAGTCCAAGGAAAAGCTTTATCGACAGTGGCAAGAGAGGGTAAGAGGCTGATGATTTTTTTTTAGGACGGAAAGGTCTGGAAGGTGAGAGTGAGGAAATGAGAATATTTTTCTAGAAAAATAATAATTGACAAACAAATGATGGACCCACATCAGAAAGGGCATTAAGAAAAAATACTGTAGACGACCGGCTTCAAGCAAGGCCATTTGAGGAAAACACTATAGATGAACAGTGCAACATTGGAAAAGTACACGGACTTTATTAGATCTTTATCAGATATAAGATTATTAGGAAAAAATTTTAAAGCGGAGACTTATTATTTTATAAATAATTATTTATTAAATTATTAATTAAAACTTTTTTGTTCAATTTTTAAAGTTAGTAATAAAATTCATCATTATTAATGAAAATTTTTTAAAAAAATTTAATATGAAATAATTTTTATAATTATTTATTTATTTTTATTATTAAAATTTTACATATCAAAAATTTATGTGAACTTATTATTTTGTTAAAATTTAATTGTCAAAATATTAAGAGAAATTTTTAAAACTAATAACGGAACTTGTCATTTCACAAATAATTATTTGTTAAATTATCAATGGAAACTTGTTAAAAAAATTTAATATGGAGTTATTTTTATAAATGTTTACTTATTTTTATTATCAAAAGCTTACATATTAAAAGCTTATATGACTTATTATTTTATTAAAATTTACTTATCAAATTATCAAGAGAATTTTTTAAAACTAGTTACGGGATTTGTCATTTCACAAATGATTACTTGTTAAATTATTAATGAGAACTTGTCATTTCTGACAATAAAAATAAGTAAACATTTATAAAAATTAGTACATATTAAATTTTTTAACAAATTTTATTAATAGTTTAACAAGTAACTATTTATAAATTGATAAATAAACATTAAGCTTTTAATAAATATTGACATAAAAAGTAAAAACAAAATTTTATATATATATATATATATATAAAGATTTGCAATTTTGACCTAATGATTAACTATTCTTTTAATTGTCAAGGAGATGGGAATCCTTGACCACATTAAAAAAAAAAAAAAATTAATCTGTCTCCTTGTCGATCCGATAATTGGTGTAAGAGATTTCCTTGGAAGCTGATGACAATTAGGAGATTTTTTTTTAAGAAAATGACAGGTAGTTTTGTCTTTTTCCATTACAATTTAATTACATTTTGTTTGCTTAGTCCTATAGGGTGAATTTAGAATCATTTTTCTCTTCTGTAAATAAAATAATCCAAAGGTCCTCCACTGTGATTTTCCCTAAAGAAAATTATATGTCAAGGTGCTCGAGGATATGTTGACAAGCTATATAACGGTAAGGTAATTTATAGAATGCGACGCAAACCATTTTTTAGTATTATTATTAGGCTAAACTACACATTATGACTCTCGATCATGTCATGTATTATATGAATCTTAACGAATCAATCATGCAGTCATGATTTATAAGTGAGTTGTTATAAACTGTACATTTTATATTCAATCTATCTATTAATGATTAAAAATACGCTGGGAAAAATTTGAAAACATCAAATCACATGTTTGAAAAAATATATGTCGTCGCATTGCGTCATGATTCATGAATAAATACAGTAAACTTCTCCCCTTTAATTTGTTGGAGCAAAACTAACTTATCCTGAATTCAAAAGCGCACACATAATTCATCCCGCGACTTTCTCATGTGACAATGGCAACTATGGAAAAGTTTTTTGAATTTATAAAATTTATTTTATTCATGAGACTCTTTAATACAAAACTCATTACAATATCATTTCACCGAAAGTCAACATCCTCAACAACTCCACCAGGCATTCTGACAGTCAAAGCCTCCCTGGATAATCTTTTTCCTGGCACAAAAACTCTTAACAAAAGCACAATGCTATGAGCACAAATTTTAAAGAATAGTTCATTCCAAAAAAAATAATTTATTGGCTAAGGGAGTTTATTAAATATAAATCTCACTTCATTTATGAGACTTTGAGATGTGAAATTCTAATATAAGTTTAAGGGGAGCCTTATAAGTGAAGTAATGTTTATAATTTTAGACTTATGCTCATGACAAATGGTCTTAAACAAAACATTTTATTAAATTTGTTAAAATACCAGTTTAAACTATTTTACAATCGAGTTGACTCAGATTTTCATACTTTGCAAAAATATCAATAGCCAAATATAGTATACTTCTTCCATTAAAAAATGTAAGATATTTTTAACCGAATCTCACCCTCTAATAAAGTAGTTACTTACTTTCAAACTAACTCTATCTTTCTATATTTATCCATATTAAACACTCTACAATAAATATAAAATCATTCATTAATAGATGTACTTTTAGAAAAAAGAAAATAATTACACCTCAAAAGACTAAAAATGTCTTATATTTTTTAACATTTAACTCTTCAAAAAATGTCTTACATTTTTGAATGGAGGGAGTATATTTTTTCTATACTTTCTTTCTTTTCTTTTTCCCCCTTATAATTCAATCAAGTATAAGAAATTCTTCTCCTACATTATTAATGATTCTTAATAAAAACCATTTTTCATGTGGAGGCAAAACTAAAGGGAAATTTAATTTTAAAATAATTTCATTATTTCAACTAACTTATCTAAATTTTGAATTTTGATAATTTATTAGCAATTAATATATAGAAATTATCTATCACAATTTCCATTTTCTCGAAAAGCAGAACTGGCCTTGCACAACAACATTGACGTCAGTAATAGTCAACTTTACTATTCCAAGTCAAATATGAAGAATTGTACCTTCATTTTCTTGTTTGTTCTTCAATTTGAAGCAATTAGCTTTAATGTGACCCGGTTTCTTACAATAATTGCATAACCCTTTAAAGGGTTTCTTCCTCGACTTCTCACTCTTATCACCATCCTTCTTAAAGGTTGGATTATTAGGCTTTAGAGCATCATACTTCTTCCCCTTTTTCTTATATGACCCTCCAGACTTGCTGCTAGAGCCATGAGAAATATAGTTTATTGAGTGAGAGGAATTCTTCTTTATAGCTTCCTCTTCTTGAGTGACTATCGATATCATCTGGTCAACAGACCATTCAGTTTCTTGTGAGTTGTATGAAGTCCTCAAGAATGCGTACTCTGATGGCAGTGATTGAAGAACACGGTAAATTAAGGTACTTTCACCCAAATCAATCCCATATGACTTAAGCTTGTTATAGTAATGAACAAGCTTCAGAATGTGCTCCCTGACACCAGAGACTCCGCCATATCGAGTATTGTCAAGAAGTGACAAATAGTAGTTCTTTTGAGTCTTGTCAAGCTTCTTGTATTTGTTACCAATAGCTTTCAAGTACTCTACTGCAGTATCCTTTTCAGGAATGCTGTCCCTAATTCCCTTTTCAATTGTGTACTTGATGATCGCTAGACAGATCCGGTTGGACTCACTCCATTGTTTATGGAAGGCTATTTCAGAAGCACTGGACTTGGAAGAGAGATCCGCAGGCTTGGGCTCTCTCGGAGCTAAATCTTTCTCAAAAATGGTCAGATACATATTAAGGGACTCTTTTTAGTCATCATAGTTAGTCCCATTGAGAGCCTTCACAAAGGATAGTTGCGTAAAAGCAGAAACTGAAATCGCAAAACAGAAAATGAGAAATATTAATTATGCGTGCATAACATAATTATAAAACAGAATTCCCCAGACAAGAGGCAAAATCTGAATCTGAAAAGCCAACAATCTCAAGATCTTTTGACCCCTTAAAGTAAAGGTACAATTCTTCAAACTGCCCCTCTAGCTCTAGTCTGTTTTGAATCTAACACCATTGAAACTTCCTTTGACTCATGGTGGCTGGATTTTGGTGCCACTGTACATGTTGTGAATTCTCTACAAGGGCTAAGAAACCAGAAGGTTCCAAGTGAGGCACAGAGGTCAGTCTTTGGCATAGCAGGGAGCAAGCATCAGTTGAATGCATTGGAACTATTTCTTTGTATTTAAATTCTGGTCATGTTTTACATTTGAACAATATTGTTTATGTACCTTCTGCGAAGAGAAATTTAATTTCAACTTCTGCATTGGATATTTGTGGCTATTCATTCTTTCAAGGAAATGGAAAAATTGACATTTGTTTTGATTCCATTAATGTTGGTGTCGCTTCCTTGATATATGGTTTATATCGATTGAATGATTGGTCACTTGAACTTCCTAATCTTCATGTCAATGCTGCTATTGGGCATAAACGTCAAAGGCCCAATGATAATTTCTCTATGTTATGGCATCGTCGTTTGGGTCATATCTCTAGAGAGAGATTGGAGCGCATGACCAAGCAAGGTGTCTTACGAGACCTTGATTTCTCAGATTTTGAGACTTGTGTTGACTGTATAAAGGGAAAATTCCCTGCTAGAGCTAGAACCAAAGGGGCAAAGAGGTCAGAAAATATTTTAGACCTAATCCATACTGATATCTGTGGACCTATCACGCCTCCGGCTATGGGTGGTTTCAAATATTTCATCACCTTCACGGATGATTACTCTCGTCATGGATGGATTGAACTCTTGCGTGAAAAGGGCGAGTCCCTTAATGCATTCAAGACATTTAAAGCAGCAGTCGAATTGAAATCTGGCAAGTTGATTAAGTGTGTGAGATCTGATAGAGGAGGAGAATTTTATGAGAGATATACTGAGACTGGCAGGAATCCTGGGCCATTTGCTTTGTACCTTCAAGAGCATGGCATTGAAGCTCAATATACTATGCCTGGCACCCCGCAGCAAAATAGGGTTGCAGAAAGGCAAAATCGTACTCTCATGGATATGGTTAGAAGCATGATCAGTCACTCTTCACTGCCAAAATTCTTGTGGGGTGATGCACTTAAAATTGCTGTTTATATTCTGAATCAAGTTCCTAGCAAGTCAGTTCCAAAGACTCCATATGAGTTGTATTTTGGAAAGACTCCTGCATTGAAGCATATGCGAGTTTGGGGTTGTAAAGTATAGGTAAAACCTTACAATGCACAACAGATGAAGCTTGATGCTAAAACTGTTGATGGTTTTTTTATTGGATATTGCATCGGA